ATTTCGTGACGAGGAAAACATATGCGACATATTTGGAGGTAAAAAAAGAACGCTATATGTGACGCCCATGCCAACAGAAAACAAAAACAGTAAAAATTAAGCTTCGAAAACAATATTTGTGGCCATAAAAAATTCAAAAAGAGCTGATGATTTTTTAAGAATACTTTTGATAAACATTCCGCTTGATAGTTGTTCAGCGCAATGCCAAAGCCTTAGTTTTTACGTTTTGAGAAAATCCGTGATAATTAACAAGTAAAGCATCGACTACAAACTGTGCAATAGCAAGAAATTTTGCGGGGTATGAAAGAAAAAAATTGCAAGGCAAGAGCAATTATACTTCACTGTTTGGTTCATATTTTGTTGTTTTTTGTACAAATTCCATTTTGATATCATGTTTTTATGAAATTGAATGATGCATTTTTGGTTTACACGTTTTAAGTTTACTGATCAAACACTAAAAAACCAAAGAGCCCCAATCACTAATTTTCTTATTTATTAAACTGACAAACTTGTATTTGAAATCGATTCAAAACAAATTTATACCAATAAAATACCGTATACAAATTGATTTAGAGTAGCTCATTTAGATACGTACACCGTCTTGCGAAGAATTCGAAGGATTTTTACGGTAGAAGAAATAATAATTTTATTTCCTAAAAAATGGATTTAAATGGATTTTCGCAAGGTAATGAAATTCATCATTGTCTCAACCAAAAAAGGTTTAGCTTAACCATTCCGTATGTTTCGGAGCTTGAGAAAATGTCTAAACTCAAGAAAGTCTCTATAGAGTTACAGAGAGCAAGAGTCACCAGAAGCGAGATATTTACCATAAAGTATTGCGATTAAGGGATTTCTCCTCAAATTGTGCAAATTTAATGGTTCTCGCGGTAATGAAAGAAAACTATGTAAGGTTTATTCAAGTTTCGTTTTGAATATTCACGTTCTAGGCTCATTTTTGTTAGGTTACGAAATATAAATGAAAGATTCAAATTAGGAAAAAATATTTTTGTTGCAAAAAGTTGTCATATTAGTTATGCTCATAGTTTTTTATTTCAAACATCGAAACGAAAAACCAATTGAAGGCATACTTTAATTGTTTTTCGACTCTTTGTCGTTTGATGATTTAGAAATGTGAATATAATCTCTATATTTTCTGTATAAAACGAATAGACAAAAATTGGATTAAAATCGATTTAATTCAAAATAAATCGATTTTTTCTTCTACCATCCGTATGAAATGGAAACCAAAAAAGTTGCTAAAAAATGGATATAAACAAATTAAAATTTGGTTGAAATTGACTATCAAACCACATGGACTCTGATCAGGCATGTCTTACAATAGCTGAATAAAATCGATTGTAACCCTTTCTTGTCAGAACGGGGTTGTTTTTTCGTAAAATCTGTTTAGTCTGCTAAAGAGATTTGTTCAACGATTCTATTAAGACTGGTGCCCATGTAGGTCATTTAAGTTTCAGCATTGTGCATTTGTGAATTTGTTTCTCGCAAAATGGTAAAAATCAAAGAGCGGTTATAACGACTTCAATTTGTACGACGAATGTTTGCTCATCCTATGAGAGGATGTCCCTCATGTACAGGATCGAATGCGGAAAAAAAACATATCCGTCGCCAATTGGGTTTCCTCATTCATGAAAACAAAGAAATAGAGGATAAAATTTGGCAGTTTGGGACAGTTTAGAGCGCAGTATTTAATTGAGATATTTCGCGCATTCGGTCTGTCGCCCATGAGAAAAGCCTTTGCCTGATATTCATGCAATGATATGTCCTATACAAAATCATCGAATTGTTCTTCAGACTTTTGAAGCAATAATTATACATTATTTCGTGACGAGGAAAACATATGCGACATATTTGGAGGTAAAAAAAGAACGCTATATGTGACGCCCATGCCAACAGAAAACAAAAACAGTAAAAATTAAGCTTCGAAAACAATATTTGTGGCCATAAAAAATTCAAAAAGAGCTGATGATTTTTTAAGAATACTTTTGATAAACATTCCGCTTGATAGTTGTTCAGCGCGATGCCAAAGCCTTAGTTTTTACGTTTTGAGAAAATCCGTGATAATTAACAAGTAAAGCATCGACTACAAACTGTGCAATCTGTTTTGTTTTCATTTTCGAAACCTGACGATATATTTTACAAATTGCCGAAGTCGAATGCGTTTCAATTCCAAACTGATTTTTGTCCTCAGAAGGACAAATTAAGGCTATTTAAAAATCTACTATCAAAAATTTATCAAAAATTGTAAGCAGTAAAATTGCTAATTATTTTTATAGATGCCATAAATGTTTTTGAAATGACTCGCGCTAAAACTAACAAGGGAAAACTGCCCCAAGATTTAAACTTTCAAATTAAGTTTTTTTCTTGTGATAAATTGATTTTAAAAAAAATATCAATCGAACTAGCCAAGGCCAATCGTTGTATCTTTTGCAATGATTGAATTAGGAAACCCGGGTAGCTACTCTCTTAAATTTTTTGGGTAGAAACGTTTATTTTTTGGCATCAATTTGCATAAAATTATGAGCAGTTGAGTCCTATATTTGACTCTTTTGAGTCCTATATTTGAAGTGAGTTTCTTTTGCTTCAGTCTGATTGGCTAGAAGTAGACAACAAAGCCTCAACACCATATCAAAACTTTTTTGTTCACAGTTTCGAGTCTACTTATAAACAAGCCGAATTCGCCAACAAAAAAATATCTGGCAAACTATTCATTTTTTCCAGCTTTTCAAATAGGCTGCAGTATTTTACCCAAGCCAAAAAAAATATTAAAAAATTCCAGAAAAAAGTGATCAAATTCATTGCTAAAAACTCTGCGAAATCGGCTAAAAATAAAAATGATCGCATTCGTTGTAATCAAAACGATCATTGCGATTGCGATCAGTGTTCTGTATTTTCTATCTCTCTCTCTCCTCCTCTTCCTCCTCCTTTCTCTCTCTCTCTCTCTCTCTCTCTCTCTCTCTCGATCGCTCGCTCTCTCTCTCTCTCTCTGCATTATACATTAAATATTACACAACGACAAAGTTAAGAAACTTGTTCGAAATAATTAAAAGACCAACCTCTTTCAACTGATGATTGCATATTATCATAACTGAATGCAAAGTGAAACAAGTTGAGTTTAAATTGTGTTATTTTATCCAATTAATGCTTTAAAATGTTAAAATTTGTAACACTTACTTTGTTAAGTTAGTTTTTTTGTTATAAATTGTTGAGACAGAGAAGTATAGTTGAATTTTTTGTTTTCAAATATTGTTTTTTTAATAAAATCGATTTCAAATTTTTTATATCAAACTACTGTAGACATTTTGAACTGCAGTTAAATTATTTAAGTGTTAGTCTAGATACGAGCAGCTTTGTCGATTATTATATCATCTGAAACTTTGTTTTCTCATTCGTCATCCATGAAAGCAGGTGTGGCTCTAGCATGCAAATGGGCCACAACAGATATCGGAAGAATAAAATAGAATATTCTGGTGGTAAACGTAATCAAATTGCCCTCCTCAATTATATTCAATTACAGCATTTCCGGGTTGGGTACCGTGCAACATCGAACATCCGAAAAACCAAAAAGTTTTGCAAACACATCCGAAAAACAGCTTTAGTAGGGCAAACATCCGACATTTTTCAAAAAGTGGGGCAAAGATCCAATTTCTACGGTTCGCTTAGAATATGTTTTTGTTTGGGACCGCGGCAGTCGCTTCATTAACTTGTTGCGATCTTGCCAACAGAAGGTAACACTCTATTTATGAAAGTTAGAGCTGGTTATCGCCGTAAAGCGGCGACGCGCGCATGGCGCGCCCACCGATAACTTTAAACCGACAGTCTGCTAAATAAGAATTGGCTAATCGAGTTATGCGGGGCGGGGCGGGGCGAGCGAGGCGTTGACCGGGGTGGGGGACTTGTAGGGGGTGTAAAGGATCGTAATTGTAAATTGGAGTGAAACCGAGAAAAAAATACAGCAATTTGTTGAGTTAAATGTTCGTTAATGACGCCACTCTTGGGCGCCACGCTTGGTGAATTTTATGACGTCACGCTTAGGGAGGCCACGCTTGGGATGAGTAAAAACAGCATTCAAAGTAATTTTCGGCACTGTTGAACAAAATTTTGGTTTTCGGCACTTGCACATCGGCAATGTTGTACTGCTCCAGCTGATTCAGCGCTAATTCAACTGTTTCAACTGATTTAGTGCCATTAAAATAACGTTGAATCAGTGTTTTGATTGTTGATAATTGTTTATCTGAGCGAAAAAAAATAAACTCGAAATAAAATATGCCAAAGTGTTGCATTCAAACAAAAAATATTCCGTCCGAGAGAATTCTTCATCACAAACCATCAGCAAAATCTGGTGATCTGAAAATGTTTTTTTTTTAAATGAAACCAAACAAAAAATGTAGATACATGCGCTAATCAATAGGTGAAACATAGCTGATTTATTGTTAGTTCATCCGTGGAATATCGCTGATTCATTGCTGATTCATCGATAGCTGACAAAAATTGTAATTCCCAGCGCTGATTCAATTATTTTAGAAAAACTTATAATGAAACAACAATGTACCATTGTGAAAAAAATCCCAAAACTTAACCATCAGCGATTTACAGAATGATTTTTTAGGTATAACCCGGGGTATCATTCGGATAAGAGCATTAAATTTTTAAGTTACGATTTTTGACTCTGTTGTTTGTACAGTTATGTGGTGTTAGGCCAACAAGCCGAAAGGCCAACAAACCGAAAATAGGATTACGATTCCAACAAGCCAAAAATTAATTTTGTTATACATCATAAAAACAGATTGTCACTGTTGTTTTGCAATTTTTACGTAATTCTGATGTAATTTACGTTATTCCGATGCAATTTCGGCTTCAAGATATGGCGGTTTGTTGATTATTAGCCATTTATGTTGACTATAGATAGTTGAAATCATCAGTTAATTCAAATTTACGAGTGGAAATCTTCTTAAAACGTAATGCAATCATCAATGGTTTACCTTGATTTTTAGCTGCGTCCGATTGCACGTTTTGACCTTCTGAAATAAAGAACAGGCGCGTAAATAAGACAAGAGATGCGAATCTCAACATTTGTAACCGCTTCTCCGTTTTTCGACCAAAAGTGAAGATTGAAAAAAGGAAAACTTGATTTTTATCTTTCTCTTTTTCTTTGAATTTATGATAAATTTTTTCCTTTTATTTGAGAGCAAATTATATATCAACGGTTATTTTTTCTACCATTGTGGATTCAATAAGAATATATGACTATTTTTTGAACCAATGGTTATAAAACTTCTTTTTACAGAGGTTTAGTTAATAAATAATAATGAGACCGAGTAATAGGTTTATAAGGTTGTAAACAGTCTTTATAGAGCAAAATGTTTTCGCAATGGATAGTTAATAATGGTAGCTCGTGGCCATCAACTTTTCGCTTGATCAATTATCTATTGAACTGTGATTTCCGGAAAAATTATACCCAGGGCTAACTCAATTTGGCAACATTTTGGATCAAAGTGTTAGTGTTTTCGATTAGAATAGATAAAGAAATATGGAGTATTTATGAACAGATATATCTTCAGGTACTTTTTGTTCGATGGTACGTTGCTTACGTTTATTGTTTTCATTGCAACGTGTATACCTAAGGGAAAACAAATTTGTCGATAGAGAAGGGAAAGAATACCGGCCAGCAAAATTGCGCCAGTTTTGAGAGGGTTATTTTGGAAGAGCGTTGGCCCGTTGGTGTATTTACAGTGATCAGGAATTTGTTCACAGTTGCAATTGTCAAACTAAAATATAATGGGGAAATATTTATCAATCACAGCAATCTCATTTTAAAATCTTTTGTAGACTAGTTAAATAAATGGTTTAAGTTGTCATACTTTCGTTTCACTGTCAAACTAAATCGTTTTCAATTACCGTTCAAATCTTGACCGGCCATATGAAAGATTCCTTCTGAAGCGTTATCAAGCTTTTTTTCTGGGAAGCTTCTTTTGTCGGATACAACTTGTTATCGAATCCGGTTTGCCTTGGTAATAATCCCCAATTTTTAATTAATACGAAAAAAAATTCTATGCTATCAATAAAACACACCCAATAAATAAGCTATTTTTGTGGGGAAAAAATGCGAAATCATAATTTTAGAAGAGTATGTTAAAGAGTAGGCTTTGTTAGAATTCTGCCAAAAGTTTTTTTAAGCAAATGTTTATGAAGGGCTGTCATTTTTCTTAAGTGACAGGTATTCTACCTGAGTCTGTTTGCAGAATGAAATTTATTGCGTCCAGGACGGAACGGTCCAAATCCAACGGAGCTCTCTTCAGTTCCAGTGTTGTCTGGATCGCAACTTGATCCGGATGAGTTATCCCGACTGAGGGGGGACTCATAGCTCTTGCTGCGGGCGAGGAATTTTCGGAGGGGTCTTCCAAGAGTCCTCCAGGTGATATTTCCACCGATGTTGGGGGTCCATAAGTGGTCCTGGTATAGGCCATGAGTAGCTTAGTGTCTCCCACTGCAAGCTTTAACATGTAAATGCAACTTAAGGAAAAACTGAGAATGGCTATTTTTAAATTAGATTCATTCGATTTTGTCATTTTTTTGAACTAAAATATGCTCCAGTAATTATTTATAGACTGATTGACACTTAGGTTAATTGGCACCATAGGCAGATTTAGGTTCCTGTCAATTGGACGAAAGAAAGAAACGTGTGTAATTGGTTAAAACAAAATAAGTGAATGCAATTTCCAATCAGCTAACTTCTGAAACTTCGGCATTTCAAAATAACACGTGAAATAAGTTTTTAATTATCACATCGGCAAAAATTGTATAATATTTTATGAATACGCTAAACGTGATCATAAGCCAAACAGGTGGCCTAATTGCTCACAATCGATATTATAATACGGACCAGAACATCATATCATGTGTTACTAATAACACAATAAAAATGTATAATTGTGAATTTGCGGCAGATTATCGGATTAGTGGTATTTAAGTCTTCGAATCAAACGTTGTGTTTCTCATTTTATTTCATATTTCAAATCTTCCTGTTTTTTCCTTAAGAGAAACTAGAAGTAATATACAAAGGGATTATAGCAGAAAAAACTACTTTTCACTCAAATATTATGTAAATGACCTGCAATAAATATAATTTTTATAATGCTATTACTGTTTTCAGCCAAAAATCAGCACAAGAATTGTGCTTTTCAGCAAATAAACCTAACTTTTGCGTATAAAAAATATAGGGAGCGAACCAGACAAAAATACTTCTTTTCGTTAGCAAGGAGACATTTTTGAAACATTGTCAAAAAGTAAATTTGATTTTTGGAGCTAAAAGCAGGAAAATTTAAATAGTTTTATGGGTACCTTGTCAAGGCAAGCCTCGTCGATTTGTGTGTAGTGTGGGTAGTGAATGCGTAGGTTGCCCCCCTTGAAGTCGGGTCCCTTGAAACTCCTGATTACAGACACCATGAGGGAAGAGGCCTGCTTGTCCACATACAGAATAGACCCAAACACGACCACGTCAGACTGAAAGCGAAACAAATGTTTTTCTTTGATATTGTAAAAACCAAAAGAAACACAGACTAATTGTACCATAAGAGTTAAGAAAGACAGACACCACGAGTCTCGACCGATTTTTTTTTTTTTTTTTTTTTAATCATTTTATCCACGAGGGATAGGACCAACATACGAGCTGTTCATCAAAAATGGAGATGAAAAAGAAGTTACATGGCGTCATGTTTGAGAGCATATTGAAGCCTTTTCATTTACGTTTTGGAATTAAAAAATGTAACTCGAAGATATCTGTCAGTTTCGGCCGATATTTTCTTACACGACTTATGAAACACTTGTCATTCTTGCGTCGATCGATACTTCAAATTATTTCGAAAAATCGAGAAAAACATGTTGAAAAGTTTTGATTTTAAATGATGTTGGAATGAAGAATCTTTCGTCATCTTGATTCATTTTAAGCTTAAATTGTAAATTTTAAACTATTATAACGATATAAAGCAATAGGTAGTTTTTTCAACCAGTTTTTAGTTTCTCTTCTCCTCAAGCACACAAAAATGATGTCTTTTTTTTTGTTCTCATGAGTATTGTAAAAAAATGTGAGTGAAACATTTTGAGATACGTGCACAACGACCGCATGTTTTCAAACTTTCCTTCAAAGTTTTTTCAGATTCATATTGACAGAAAACCCAGAAAAAAAGGAGAAAAAAACCGTTTGATCTTGATCGTTTTAAAGCTATTGCCAATATCAGTTGTACAGTGCTGATTTAAATTAACGGACACAACGAATAACATTTGAAATTTCAAACTCGTTTTTATCAAACTGAGTTAATATTAGACAAAAAGTGAACAGAACAAATGCTGCTTAGAATTTCACCAGAACAAGGTTTTTAGAAATTTTTCTCTTTCTAAAACTTTGATGGGCTCTGTAATAGAGTTCTTTTGGTTTAACTTTTTCATCAATCTTTTTTGTCTAATTTTGAACCAATTTGAGAAAAGCGCGTTTGACATTTCAATTGTGTTCTTTTTGTTCGAATAATTTAACTGAGCACTGTACAGCACAAACATAGAGAAACTTTGAAAATTAAACGACCGCAGAAGAATTTGTGTTAGAAGAAGGTTTTTCATAGAAAAAAAAAAACTTTAATTGAACTTCAATTAGAGCGCTTTTTTATCGACAGTAACGGAATATGGGCTTGAAGTTTTCTATTCGAACCAATTTTGGTGATAGAGATAAAAGTTATCAGCAAGACAATTTTATACCCCGATAAGATATCAACTTTTTGAGTTAAAACTCAGAAAGAATTTTTGAAAATCTTGATTTCTATTGAAAAAGGAGTGTGTCAAGTGTTGGCAAACCGAATGAAAATTTGCTGAGTATGGCCAACATATCGCTTTCACGAACTATACAAACAAGGAATAATCAGCAGAAATTATGTTCCAGTTTATTTTTCAAGGCAAAACACTGATTTCTCCGGCCACCTATATGTATCTCAACGATCTTTATACCAAATTTTGCAAAACGTGTTCATCGATGAGACAAAACATAAATTGCATGCTTACAAATATCTTGCTTGCAATGTCTCTTGCCAAAAAATCATTTAAAGGCATAATTTGAACTATGTAGTGTGCTTTAGTTCAATTACGAATGGTTTTGTACCGGATCAGCTCGCGCCCAATTGAAACCTAGAATTGGAATTCTCGATCAGCACAGCTCATATCTTTCAACCTTTTAGCAAGGAAAAAATACACGGAAAATTTAAGCAATAATACTGAGGCTTCGTCAACTGGAGGAAACTTAATCGGCTACTCTTTGCAAAAATTGAACAAAAACTCGATCCAAAACTGATATAAAGGAAAACAAAATTGCTTGTCTGCTTTTATTAGCAGTGAGTGTTGCGAATGACTTTTTGGGTGTCTGAACTAGACGTTGGCAAAATTGTTGAGGAATTTTCAAACCAAATTGATTTTTTAAACAAAAAATTTCCCGCACACCAAGTAAAACAAATGATAATTTTGAAATGTTATTCCGACTTTCGAAGGTAGTGAGAAATATGTATGAATAGGGCGCATTTTTATTTAGACAAGTTTCCGAAGAAAAATTATAAAGTGGGTATCGAACCTGGAATCTACGCATTTCCAAGTCTGTTAGCTACGCATTATCCGATATATATTTTGAGCATACGTTATCTGCTCAAAAGTTATAAGTTTGCAAAATCATTACACAAAATATTATCCCGCAAATAAAATTGCTCCGAATTGAAATTAAGCTAATTGGTCAAATTATTTTCTGTAACGACTCAAACTTTCAGACTTTCAGACTTACTATTTGATACCTGCTAAATTGACCTTTGTAAATTAACGAAAACTTTTTTATGTATAACTATTCGAGAAAAATTAAAGTACGGTTCGGCATTTTCATTCTTGTTATTTTGGGGTTGTGTTTCATAAAACCAATTTTGCGGTTGTGTTTCATAAAACCAACTAAAATCTTTATGGGCCAAACTGTATTTTTTTCCGACCAAATGAGAAATGTCGAGGAACTTGTACTCGGATGTGTTTTAGTTTTTTTCTTTTTGTTTCTTTTTTTCCATGCAAAATCACGTAGCACAAACAATCATTGGAGTGGGTCGACTTATACAAAATTTTGAGCTTTTTCAGTAGTGATTTGAACGACATTATGAAATTTCAAAAAATCTCAGTGTTGAGAAAAATCGGTTAAAAATTACGAATTTTTGGTCTATTTTTGAGTGGTAAGGTTTTTCAAACTAAGGTCTGCAGGCTTATATTAGCTTGTTTAACCTAAATTTGAGCCGTAAAAACAAATGTTGTGTTTTTTAAAGCCTGTGGTCGTAAAATTTTGTTCTCTATGCTCAGTAACCGACTATCCTTGTTGTTAAATGTAAAAATTCAGCATCAAGCCGAGAACATATTTGTTCGGGAATCCAAAACATTGCTAATTTTCTCCGATCTTTTTCGCCTCCTTGCTGTTTTAGATTCCACAAAAAATATCTTAAGCAATGTGTTGTTCAAAGTCACTCTAAAAGCTGGAAAACACGCAGAATTTGTAAGAAAATTTGCGGAATCTGCAACAAAGTTTGCGGAATCAGGGGCAGTTTGTGGAATCCAAAATCAAAACGAAAAATGCGTGTGGTAAAATAGTCTCCTATAGTCGCGCAATCCGCAATTTTAAACAGAATCCACAAATTAGAATCGGAATCCGGGATCCTCAAATTGTAAGCGGAACTACTTATCTGACAAAAGTAATGGGCTGACAAATATTACTT